GACTATGAGATGAAGAACTCCTCAGATCTTTCCATTACTAGCAACCAGATGAGAAACCTGCTCAGCTGCCAGGAAGAGTATATTTCACAAATTCCAAGGACAAAAAGGAAAAAAAATATTATCTCCCAGAAAGAGAACTGAGAGACAGGGGAGCAACAGACTGGGGAGCTATCTCAGGTGATTGGATCAAAACTTACTCAGTTAAGGATCCTCAGAGTAGCAGGACATGCCAACACTTGTCCAGAGGCTTTGCTTTGGACCAGTCATTTGATATGCACTTCACATCCTTTCTATTTTTCAATGAGAGTTCGTTGTTGTTATCCCATCACTGTTTTGCTATTACATATAGGGCATGACTAATGATAATTTATCTTTAATTCTTAAGTCTCTGTATGAAAATGATCAGCAAAAAGACTTGATGTAAAACCAAAAGATCCCGAACCTTCAGCCTGATGCTGGGATTGAATGAAGATTTTGGGGCATTTGGTGTAAGGATGGAAGGGACTGGAATAATTCTAAGATGGTAAACTGGGGATGGATTTGGTTATCGGCTCCATTTCTCCACACTACTCTATCGGTGTTACACATCCACACCGTCGCCGTGGTCTCATGGTGAGCAGAGCTGCTTCCATACCCATGCACTTTGGGCTTGGCTATAGACTCGTTTCGTCCAATAAGATGTTAGGAGACATACACAAGCAGAGGCTTGAAATACGTTCACATTGTTGGGCTTGCTTTCTTATGCTCCAGTGGTCTTTTGAAAGTTACTGTCTCTAGGTTGCTGCTTCCTCTCAACGTGCATCCCGGATGGAGACCCATGGGCCATAACCGCTCCATCCCCACACGCTGGAGGCAGGCCAACCAAAGGGTAGCCACGCTCAGCCTCAACCAATAAAGCTACTGTTAACCTGGAAACCAATGAACATGGGTCAAATGCTTGTTCTTTAGGCAACTAAGTTTTGGGGTGGCTGTTTTCAAAGTATTTTTGTATCAATAGCTGAGTAATGCTTCTCTCTTTTTGCTTTGGCCACGAGGAACTTTAGATCCAAATATTTGGCTCAATTTCTTTGCTATTCTGAATAGTGCTTCAATAAATGTATGAGTGAGGGATATTTTTGATTTAATTATTTCTTTTGCTTTGGGTAGAGCTCAGTACAGGAATTGCCAGATGGAACGGTAGTGCTATTTTTAGTTCTTTGAGAAATCTCCATACTGTTTTCCATAGAGATTGTGCTAATTTACATTCCCACAAACAGTGCATAGCCATTGCCTTTTCTCTGCATCCTCACTAACATGTTACTTTTCGAATTTTTAATAGTATATATACATGATGGAATACTATTCAGCCATAAAAAAGAATGAAATCCTGTCTTTTGCAGCAACATAGAGGGAACTAGAGGCTGTTACTTAAGAGAAACAATTCAGAAACAGAAAGTCAAATGCCACATGTTCTTACTTATAAGCGGGAGCTAGATAATGTGTACACATGAACATAGGGTGTGAATGGTAGACAGTGAAGACTCAGGAAGATGGAAGATAAGAAATGACTTAATGGGCCCAATTTACATCATTTGGGTGATGGATACACTAAAAGCCCAGACTTCATAATATATTCATGTAACAAAATTGCCCTTGTATCCCTTAAAATTTATATAAATAACCCCACCAAATGCCAAATATTTGGCTGAAATTTAAAGCTATACAAATGCCTTCAGTTAAAACTTTGATTTTTAAACCTTTTCCTTTGTCTTAATTTTTCAAATATATCTGCATTTTCTCTGTCACAGGTCTTCATGTGCTTGTGCTTTCCCACTTCATGTTATATGTCCTAAATGTTACAGGAATGGGATAATAAAGAGTATATTAAGAACGTAGAAAAGAATCAGGCTGCAAAACAATAAGGTTTTAATATTGTTGTCCTTATTACAGGGGACCCTTACCTGTCATTCCCACGAAGAAGGCTCTTCCTCCTTGTCCAAGCATCCTGACTTCCGGAAACGAACTTGTACAGCTATGAATCTTCTTAGTTTCCTTGTTTCCATTGCATAAGCTTCATTGTGAAAGGTTGAGGTAGGCTGATTTGATTAATCGATTTCAATAAATGTTTGGCTTTTTTCATCTCTCCTCAAGTTAATGGCCTGGTTAACTTTTAACCAGAGAAGATTTAGGACAATTGATATTCAAGCTGGGACACTTCTTTCCACACATGTCTGGTGGTGAGTCCTGGCTGGAGACCAGGGTCTGGACTATTGAAGCAGGTAGCTTTACCTGGAATCAATTCCTCTTTTAGCCCCATCCCGGCCCTAGATCCTTGTATTCCACCTCTACCTGTAGCATAGGACCACAGGTTGGGTATATGAGCTTGGGTTTTTGTCTTGGCATGCACAAACACAGAGGCTAAGGACTTACAGAAGTCCCCCTTTATCCACAGGGGATACATTCCAATACCCTCAGTGGATAACTGAAACTGCAGATAGTACTGAATCCTATACATACCATGCTTTTTCCTATACACACATAGCTATGATAGACTTTATAAATGAGGCACAGTAAAAGATTAGCCACAATAACTAATAATAAAATAGAACAATTATAAAAATATGCCAGCATCACTACTCTTGTGCTTTGGGGCCATTATGGAGTAAAACAAGGGTGACATGAACACAAGCGCTGTGATAATGCCAGAGGGGATCTGATACCAGAGACAGCTACTAAGTGACTCCATGGCAGGCAGTGTATACATACAGGGTGGGTAGGCTGGACAAAGGGATAATTCATGTCCTGGGTGAGAGGGAGCAGGACAGTAGGAGATTTCATCACACTACTCAGAATGGCATGTAACTTAAAACTTATGAATTGCTTACTTCTGGAATTTTCCATTTAATAGTTTCAGACTGTGGTTGACTACTGGTAACAGAAACGATGGAAAGTGAACCTGCAGATAAGGTAGGCTACTGTAAAGGATGCCAGTGGGAAAGTATTGAAAGTTATTAATGAATGTGTTGTGTTGTTCTTGCTTATTGCCATAGAAATTTTCCAAAAATTCTGCAGCTAAAATAACATTTATTTATTATCACATAGTTTCCATAAGTCAGAAGCCTGGATATAGCTTGGTTTAGCTGAGTCCTCTGCTGACAGAGGGGAAGTCCAAGATCAAGACACCAACAGATTCAGTGGCTGGTGAGGGCCATTTCCTGGTTCATCGATGGCGGCTTCTCACTGGGGTCTCACCTGGTAGCTCTGTGGGGTCTCTTGTATAAGGGCGCTAATCCCATTCATAAGGGCTCTGCTCTCATGATCTAATCACTTCCCAAAGGCCCCACCTCCAAATACCTTCACACTGGGGGTTAGGTTTCAACATATGAATTTTAGGGGGACATAAATATCTAGACCACAGCAGATTCCTTAGCAGTAATTTAAATAGTTACATGTGTAAAGGTCAGAAGGCTCTGCCAGTGTCTTGATGCTATGAAAAAAACTCAGGGCATTTTTATAACTCTTAGTTATGTATTACTGAGGTTCAATGAGTCACTTTTATTCATTAAGTTTTTTTAAATTACTTAAATATTCTTCTTTCAACCCCTTGACTAATTTGCATATTCATTAAGTTTGGAGGCTTAGAGGTAAAATTTAGTTGGCCAAAATAAAATAAGGAAATGTAGCATTTATTTGCCTGAAAATTATGTCTGGTATAGATCACTTCTCTACAGATTTGGCTCTAGTTGTAACCCACATCAAAACTCAAATTCTTAGGAAGACCTTTTCCCTACCAAGAAGCACTCTCTCCAAATAGAATTTTAGGGCCCACATGGGAAGATGATGAAATGTTTCAACTCTTCATTATATATAGGGCTTAAAGCCTTATTTGATCAAGGAAATCTCTATTATCAAGTACATATGACTTTGTTACAGGATATATATATATTTTCTTATCTCAATGGTACCTTCTTATACAAACACAAAGTGATAATAATAAGTTTGACATCCTGCCTACAAGAGTATTTTGGAAGTGCAGTCACTGGACTCATTCACCTACATGTTCTGGGCAGCTTTCTAGGTATTTACAGTGCAGTGGCAGATCAGGCAATTTTATTCTTTTCTTTGACAGCCATCATTGTGCTATTGGCCTTACACTCTAGTTAAGTGGTGGTTTATAGGAAAAGATCCAGTGATTATTCACTTTTGAATTATAGTTCAACTGCTTTACTGTGTTCAATGCCGAGTCCTCCACTATCCCAATTCAGAATTAACTTCTAACATCTTTTCCTTGTAAAAATGTCTTCTTCCTGTACATTTGTGTATTTGATGTAGATGGTAAAGGAGACATTTGACCCAGGCCTTATGAAAAGAATAAATTCATCAAAGATCAAGGACGTAAGACTTCCAGGCAAAAAGAACAAAATAAGGGTGACAGAAAAGAGCACAGAGTGTTGTGTAAATAGTTTGTTTTGTATGAAATATAATATGTATTGCAGATATTTTCCTTATGCAATTATAGGGATTAAAAGAATTGGCATGCATGCTAAAATAATACGTAATATTAATTAGCAATGAATGCTTTATGTTAATTAGCCCATTTAAATAGGTAGCACTTAATGTTGGTTTCCCTTTGCATATTTTTCCCATTGGAAACAGCCCTCAACCCTAGGCTTTTTGTTTTGCACCTGACTTCATGTCCAGAAAAATGGTTTGTGACAACTCCTAACCTGTGGTTCAACATAAGGAGTAAGTCTTCGGAAAGAAGCCAGAGCAGGAGGTAAGGTGGCCTCTTTACTTTGTCCTTACATGTGTTGACAGCTGCTCCCATAATACACTGGCTGGAAGGGAAATATGCAGATGACCTAGAACTTATAGTCTACAGGCCTACCCACCCTGAAAGCCAGAGCCAGCAAGAGTGGGTGTGTTGGATCTACCTGTGGTTAACTGTTAATCTTGTTGTTGTCAGCAGGTAAATATTTGAAAAGGCAATTTTGTCCTATTTATTTAAGGCCTTGATAGGGTAAATAGTGACAGAGGTCTAAGCCTCAGACTCTGCAGAGAGGCATTTCAGAGAGGAATCTGGGAGAAGCTCACTCACAAAAAGGAGAAAGACTTTCATCTTGAGAATGGCTGGTAGGAGGTTGACCCGGGTTGTGGGAGGGGTGGTTTCCTGGTTCAAATATTTGCAAGAAGGTGAGTGGTTTGTTAATTTGGGATGTGCAGATCCTGGTGACAAAAATGTTTTTTTCTGACATGATCTCCTGAGGCTACTGCCCTGCGGGAGAGAATGAACAGAGTGAGTAAATGGCATGCTGGTCAAGGCTGCTGCTTGTGGGTTGCTGTGCTACAAGGCTTGGCCCCAACAGAAAGGCAAAAGCCAAGGGCGGAGAGTTTGGGGATATGGGTGGGCAGGGACACTGGATAACAATCAATTAACGAATTAGTAACACTTAAGATTGAGAACTCCAATTCCTAGCTTGGGAAACCTGGGGTTAGAATCCTCTCTCAGGCTCCAGCAAGTGATCTGGCTGGGAATAAGTAGGATGGCCTTCTTGAATCTCAAATTACTACTCTGTAGAATGGAATAGGAACCTTACCTTGCACGGGTATAAGGAGTATTTAATAAGATGGTGTTTCTCGCACAATATTTTTTGCATAATAAGCACTCAATAAGGCCTTAATAAGAATGAATCATTAAGTAATTCAAGAAATATTATCGAGTACGTATATTGGTACAAAGATGAATGAAAATGAAGGCTGACAGTCCGGGTTGCAGTAATACCTTTAATTGAATAATTATTGCTGTTTAATAAGTGATAGTACAAGGGAGTTAACCAACTGCTACCTGAAGTTCAGATAGTTTAACTTGCTCAATTTGCGAGTAAGGATGAGGCTCATATTTCAGCTCTTGTGTCTAATTCTAGAGCCTGTACCTTTCCTACACCATGCTACAATTGTACCTATCCAGTTTTCATGTAAAAACAAAAGGAAGCAGAAAAAAAAAACCCTCCTCCTTGTTTCCTTAATCAGGTGTCTGGTTATTGGTCAACATCCTTCTAATGGGCACTACTGTCCTTGAGAAAGGAGTATGCGCTGAACTTCAAAGACCCCGTGGACCTCCTGGATTCCAAGGACCTCCCGGACCCCAAGGACCTCAAGGGCTTCCTGGTTTTCCAGGGCTTGCTGGTTTTCCAGGGCTTCCTGGTCCTCCTGGTGAGAAATGTATTTCTTCTGCCTCATGTTTTCCCCTCTCTTTCAGTATTTTTAGTAGCCATTAATTCCTATGGGCTCAGCAGCAGGAGGCATTAAGGATGGCAAGAATCTGGGGAAAATCATCAGCTGTAGGATTGGGTCCCAAGGCAGGGTGACTGGCAGTCCAAATCATTACAGAGGTTAAGGGAGACTTCGCCAGTTTTAGTACTAGGGGACTGTGATTCATACGTGTAAGTCATGGTGGGAGCAAGTGATCATCTGAATCAGTATCACAAATCTAGGCTGACTGTCCGGTAAACAGCAAGAAAAGTGAGTGGGATTAAAAGTTTAGTACCAATCAATGGACTGGATTTTGTGTACTATCTGAAGAACTGCATTTTTCTGGGAAGTTAGGGCCCAACCCAAGTTATTATGAAAAAGATGACAGCCAATGAGCACCTCAGTGTGCCATCAAGATTCTTCCTAGATCCTGTCTTAGTCGGACCAACAGGAGATTGGACCAAGTATGCACTCAGGAAAGCTCACAATTCTATGTAGTCTCTCGTGGGGCCATTATCATTGGCCAATACCCATGAGAGTTAGATACAGCAATCCAAAGGATTTCTGGCCCCAAGAATTAGACTTCCAGGCCATTTTATTTATCATTCTCAGTAAGACTCTCCTTAATGAGAATTAGTCTTGTCTAACTCCAGGTGAAAGACTATAGAAGCTCAGTATCATTGACATAGTGTTAGGAAATCATGTTGTTCTGCCTTGACTGTTACACTTCCCCCAATGATCCCAGGAAGTAGAGTCTTATCAAAAAGATGGAGGCCAAATGAATTAATAATAGCTAGCCTATGTTAAACTTCAATGTTCAATAGGCACTGCTAACTACTTTCAATGAATTATCTCATTATGACATCATGATAATCATATATGAAGTAACTAACTTTATCCCCCGTTTTAAAATGACGAAATCCAGCCCTAGAAAGGTTAATTGACTTTAGCAAGATCACATAGCTGGTCAATTTTGGAAATGTGGCTTCTAACCATTCAAATCATTCACCGAATATCAATCTCTTCACCACGATGTCATAACAAAAAAGTGGGCAATTTCATAGATCAACGAAGGTATCCCCTTCTTACTGGCTGCTATAATCTTCTTAGTGGTGCTTCTCCACTTTTTCAATGGCTTCCAGGTGCACCAGGAAGTCCAGGAGAAATTATACAATGTCCGTGCAACAGACAGTCAGCCTTCACTGTGAAGCTCAGTGGCAAGCTTCCTTCACCTGCTAAGCCTGTCACCTTCACGGAGGTGCTGTACAATGCCCAGAACGACCTGAAGGAAGATACCGGGGTGTTCACCTGCAGGGTACCAGGAATTTACCATTTTCACATTGACGTAGAGCTTCAACACTGCAAGATGACAATTTGGCTGATGAAGAACCAAACCCCAGTCTTAGAAAAGCGTCAGTTGTCCACGAAGGAGTACAGAAATCTCTCTGGCACTTTGACCCTGCCGCTGAACGCAGGTGAGAAGGTATGGCTAGAAGCAGAAGTGGAAACCGAGGAGCCTAGCCAAGCCAGAACCACAATCTATTTCTCAGGTTTCCTGGCTTAGTGTTGGTCTGCATGGAAGAAAGATAAGCCCCTTATGATCCTGCTGCCTAGAACAAACACACAAATAAATATTATGCACCATATCTTGGCTTCACGGGCTTTGCTTTTTCCATGGCATTGTAGCATTTTAGAATTTTGGTAAATAGATTCTAAATTTATAGGCAAGAACAGGTAGATTTGGTCACAGTGGAATTGGGCCTTAGAATTCGAGTTAAGAAACCTAGAAATTATTTCAGTTAAACAAGAAACTGAATTCTGCAAACAACCAGGAGCTTGGATGAGGACTCTGTGCTCCAGATGACAGCCACAGCCCTGCCAATACCCCAGTTGCAGCCCAGTGAGGCCCTCATTAGAAGACACAGCCACGCAGTGCTAAGACCTCTGACTCACAGAAACCATGAGATAATGAACGCATGTAGTTTTAAGCTGTTAAGTTTGTAGTGATTTTCAATGCAGCAATACAAAACTTATACAATATTTTATACAAATTATATAAGAGAATGCATAAAGGTGACATTGAATAGAAAAAAGGAGTCTAGATATTGAAGACCTGGGAGAAACACATTACAGGCAGAAGAAAAAGAGCAAAGGCCCTAAGGGAGAAAATGTTTGGTGCATTTGTATAACCAAACTAACACAGAGTTGACAGAGCACAGAGGATGAGCGAGGTAGCAGCAGACAGTCATTGGAGAGGCAGGCACAGACTGACCATGCAGCAGGTGTTGCCATGTTTTTTTGAGATTTTGGTGGTTTTGCCTTCATGTTCACCCATTCTGTGGGAAGACCAATGCCCTCCTAAGATTTCTGCAGATTTCTTGAGGCTAACAGTCATAGAGACAATTCTGATTCTGATTTTCTGTGTCCTATATCCCCTCTGTTTCATGTCTATTTTTTTGTTTGTTTGTTTTTCTTCTCTTTGGTGTAGACTATGGCATAAACTTCAGGCCTTTCTTCTTTGATTTTTCTCCAAACAGTCAACTAAGTTATTTATAGGTAGTGGACTTTACAGAAGATATTAGGAGATGCAAGAGTTTTACATCACAATTGTGCAAACAAGTGCAGTGGAATTAAATCTTAGCTTTCCATATTCTTCAAAGTTTTGCTGTATTTACTGCCCTTTCTCTTCCTCTGGAGTTCTGCACTGCTCTATTTCCCTTACTTTTTGACGTGGATACCCACTTACTTTTTGGTTGGGAGCCTATATTTTCACATCTAAGGACTTACTGAAATAATCTATTGTACTTAGACATTAATTAGAAGAGAGTCCAAGATTAATTCTTAAAAAGAGTATTTATGCATGAGTGCTAGATAACATTGCATGTATATCTTAGGGTTATCTGTCTGTGTGTGGTTATTTTATCAATATGGTTCTGTGATATTAAAATCTAGAACTATAAATAGCTCCATAAACAGCTAGTATGGCTAATTGTACTATAATAAATAACTACAAATGACATGAAAGTAGGTGTGAGGAAGTTGAGGGTATCAGACTAAACATGTGGAAAAGCAGGACTTGGGATTGTGATGAGGGATGAATCTTCCTGATTTTGGCAGCTTGGTTCACAGGCAGTACTTCCACATGGAACAAAGAGGCTGGAGGCAGTAGCTCCAGGGAACAGTGAGGCAAACTTAGCTGCCTACACTGCTAAAATCATGCACGACCGTATTTCCTCTGAGATAACTAACATGTACATTTTTTATTGGATCAAAAGTAAACTTTTAGCAGAGATGAGTGGCCTGGCCAACATTACTATACTCTAGAAGCACACTGATGTTTGAACAAAAGATCATTCATTCTGCAATGGAGCTATGATGCTTCTGTCTTTTTCTTTCTTTTGCTCCTGCTATTGTTACTAAGTGGAAATTAATAGTAGAGATATGTTTCTTTTCCATGAATAGAAAATGTTATTACTATCCTCACCTCTTGACCACACACATACTCTCTCTCTCTCTCTCTCTCTCTCTCTTAGAAGCCAAAAGTAGCAACAGTCAGTTTTTTGTTTTATCTAATGTCTTTTCACCCCTATAGTGATAAAAATGTCTTCTAAATATGGTTGAAAAAGTGAGTGGGGAAAAATACACACAAAGGATTTTGGAAGGTATAATGTGCCATGCTGATGTTCTTTACCATTCACAGAGATTTTCATAATCAGAAACACCTAAAATTTCTGAGAAAAGAAAATATATTCTTTTCCATTTTCCTTAACATCTTTCAAAAATGACTCAAAAATATTGAGCAAACATTGCATCTCTCTCCAAATATTTCTGGATGTTAAATAGTACCAAGTAAATTGAGACAAAGTAAGTGAATCTATTTATTGAAAGTGGAATGCCTGGAGCAGAGTAAGTGTTCAATATGTACAGGTTAATTTCCTCTTAGTGTTCCCCATCTCATACCATAAATATGTTTACTAAATAAATGAATGAATGGTTTGAGCAAGTACTGACTAATTTAATACTACAAGCTCTGATGGGAACAAAGTCAACTTCCAGTAACAACAACAAAATAATATATGTAATTTTAGTAGCCTAAATTTTCAATGAGCTGGTGACTGTGCTAAGTACTTCTCTACTTTCATTGTTTGAAAAAATATTGAGCACCTAGAATGTGGTAGACCAACACAGGATTTCAGAGTTATAATCAAAACCAAAGCAAAGGATACAGCTCTTCCTATCACAAAACTTACAGCTTAGCAGACATTAATCTAAGAATTATAAAAATGTAAAAATAAAAGTTATGGGCATTTCTATAAATAGGTAAGAAGATCATGATTTAAGAATGCATAGAAGGAGCTCTTGCCCAGTTATTCCTTTGTTAAAAAGGTATTTCTGATTCTGAATAGGCATAAAACATGTAAGGTATGTAGAGAGAAGTGTTCTAGGCAGAGGCAGAAAAATGAACAACCACAAAGGGCTTATGGCAGTAGGGACCATAGAATATTTAAGAGACTAAAGCTTCAATGTAGCTGGAACCCAGCAATAAGGAAGGGAATGGTATGAGAAGATGGAGAAATGTACAGTAAATCATGTTAATAATTAATTTTTTCCTAAGAAAAAAATGACACTATGAAATAATTTTAATCAGGCATTTACATGATTAAAATTTCTTTAGTACAATGAGCATTGGCTCCTGGGGTGGGAGTAATCTAACCAGAAGAGGCACAGAGTGGAGACTTGGCCCACGAGTTGGCACACATGATAGATGAAGATGATGATATTGCTTGTAGGAATGTAGAAATGTGAATTGATTTTCTAGACATTCAGGGAGCAAAATTCATTGGTTTTGGTGATAGATTGCATTAAGGAGGTGGTATGGAGGGAGATGGATAGCAAAATCAGTGGAGGAGGATGCTGTTCATGGGGAAAGATAACGATGGAAATAAATGAAGTGTTGGAAGAGGATGCAGCCATAAGCTTGGTTCACAATACTTTAAAACATCAACCCTGAGGAAGCCTCTGGATGTATCACTCATTTCTGAATTCCTTTGGTAACACATTACTGAGCTAAGACCATCTCTCACATGTGAGTATGAACTAGATTAGGACTGTCAAGGTTAAGAATTGTTTCTTAGCTCATTGTAGATGTTTGATAGATGGAAGGAGAACAGAGGAAATATAAAGGGGATTAGAAGGTAGGTAAAGTCTTTAAGAAAGAAGAAGTCTAAGGAAGAAAACAAAATCAGGTATATCAGGGTTGCATTTGGCTGCAAGTAACAGAAACCAGGTTGCAGTAGCTTTGTAATATCAGTGATGATTGTTCTCAGATACAGAGGTGAACATTCTAGGGCTGAAGTAGCTGTGCAAGGAAGTTATTAAGAGCTGGTCTGCTTCTATCCTTCTCCCTCAGCCTGCTTAGTGCTACCTGTCCTTGGTTCTCATGTTTGCAAAATGGCTGTTTCCAACCCAGGCTTCTTCCAGAGGGTTGGGGCAGGGATTGAGGAGAATGGCGAAGGACGAGCAAAGCATAAAAATCCAAAAAGATCAGTCAGTCTTCTGAGGATTTGCCTTTTAAGGACTGAACTGGAACCCCCCCCCCATTACCTTTCATTCTCCAAACAGTGTCACATGTCCCCCATGCTCTGCAGAAAGACTAAAGATAGTGTGTCTTATCTGGGTCCACTGACCATTCAAGGTTTGTGCTCTGTTTGAAATAAATTGAAACATGGAGTGGGGCTAATAGATACTGGGGAGGAAACTAGCAGGGTCTGATGAGGATTAAGCAATAGAAATTGTTCCTCCAAAACAGACCCCTTACTCAAACAGTGGTCAAAATATGCACTATACATCAAATGCAAAATATACATTTGGTGGTATGTATTCACAACTTAGTGTGACTTTAAGCAAATTTTCTACACTTCTCGAGGATATTTGCTTTCCTAACAGTGTTATAAGTTGTGAAATTGAAGTGGTATTGGAAGTTATTATCAAGACTTTTTTACTCTGAAGAAAAATTTTAAGATGTAATCAAGAAAAAGAATGACAACGTTCCTAGTTCCTTCAGCTTCAAGTGGTATGGGGCTTCCAATCAGATCTGATTTCCTGGCATACCCTCTCCCTGAAGTTCCTAGGATATAGAAGAATGTAGGAAATTTTATGGGCTTTTAATAAGAAATCATTGATCAATTAATGAATTATTAATCTTTACTGCTTTTAGAGTTACATTCATATTAGTAAATTGGGCTATTCTTAAGGTTATTCATTCAATGATCAGGGAAAATTATGCTGGGGAAAGGAGGCTTGCTGTCAAATTTATGCCCACTTGAGGGATTTAAGTTGTTTGTTAATCATAGTCAATATAATTTCCATAGAGCAAATACCCAAAGAATATAGTTTGAATCAATCCTTTTTCATTCTCTTTTGTGTCTAGCTTGGATTCTAGCCAGACCCTGTCTCCCACCATCAGCTGTAAGATGACAGTTCCAGAAACATGCCTATACATGCCTTTGGCCTCAGCTTCCTTCTCAAGGACTTGGATGCCATTCTTCATGAGCCCTAACTTTAAAGCATGCTGGAACAACTCAATGTCAAAGCCAAAGTGGTATACACCAGGGTTGATGCAGGTGAACACCCCTGAGGTAAGACTGAAGCGGTCCTGATGGTTGTGCAGCACTTCCTTGAAGACAATGGGCTGGGAAGGGGCTGGAAGGGGATCACTCAGCTTCACTGCAAAGGCTGTTTGGGGTAAGGAAGAACACTGCTCAATGTCTCCTGGAGTCCCAGGTGCCCCTGGTGGTCCTGAATAGCCTGGAGGTCCTAAACACCAAGGTAAACAGAAAGAGGAGAGAGGAAATTTGAAGTTCATGTATTCACAATTCACAAATTTATTTCCACTCTAACTCTCCTTACTGACGTTCATTTATCCTTCAAGAACCTTAAGAATCTTAAGCATTATTTTTCCCAAGAAGTCTTTCTCTTCCCTATGCCATCATAATAGCAGAATCCAGTGTTTAATCTGACCATAGCATTTACACACTCAATAGTAATCTGTCCCCTAAGTACCTGTTTTGTTTCCTTAAGTAGAAAAATGAGCAGGTGCCTTTCTTAATTGTATTCCTAAAGTACCACCATACAGCATCCAGCATAGAGTTGGACTCATGATGTATTTTCTGAAGCAATGATTAGCAGTTGCTTAAATTGCTTTTTTAAATTCATTTCATGTTTGCTCATATGATTTTATTATTACAAACATCAATTAAGGACTACTCTTAAGAAATACTAACCTGGGGAGGTCCAGGAATTGTATCGTATCAAAGATAGAAGGATTGTTACAGCAGTTTCCCCTTGCTGGACTGTGTGTTAGAATCAGCTGTAGAGCCTTTGAATAATCCAGTGTCCTGGCTAATAATGCTGTGACCTTCTGAATCAGAACTTTGGAGGGTGAATTCAGAAATCTCCATATTTAAAAAAGGTCCCCAGATGATTTTTGTGCACATCCAGGTTTTAAAATCATACATAAAGAGTCAAATTGGTGAGTAGTTTCCAGTGAGGTTCAGATGACAGAGACTTTCTCAGAGCTGATGGGAGATCTAATATTATATACTCAGTTAATTTTAGTGATATCATTCTGTCCCTGGATTTTCAGGAAATGCACCAGTACTCCAATGTTAATAACAGATGAGCACACAAATCAATGTGATTCACCACATAAACAGAAGCAAAAATAAAGACCATATAATCACCTCAGTAGATGCAGAAAACACATTCAATAAAATCTAGCACACTTTCATGATAAAAACTCTTAACAAACTAGGCATGAGAGCATACCTCAAAATTATAAAAGCCATATATGACAAACCCACAGCCAACATCATACTGAATGGGGGAAAAACTGAAAGCATTCTCCGTAACAACTGGAAAACGACAAGGATGCCCACTGTCACCACTTCCATTCAACATAGTACTGGAAGTCCTAGCCAGAGCAATCAGGGAAGAGAGAGAGAAAGGGCATCTAAATGGGAAAAGAGGAAGTCAAACTATCCCTGTTTACCAGTGATATAATTTTATATCTAGAATACCCTAAAGACTCCATCAAAAGACTCCTAGAATTGACAAATACAGCAAAGTCTCAGGTTACAAAATCAATGTACAAAAATAAGTAGCATTTCTATATACTAATAACAATCAAATCAAGGACTCAATACCATTTACAATAGCTACAAATAAAATAAAATATCTATGAATATACTTTACCACAGAGATGAAATGTCTCTATAAGCAGAACACAAAACACTGATGGAAGAAATTGTAGATGACACAAAGAGATGGAAAAACATATCATGCTCATGGGTCTGTAGAATCAACATAATTAAAAATGTCCATACTGCCCAAAGTGATTTACAGATTCAATGCAATTTTGGGGAAAATACCAATGCCATCTTTCACAGATCTAGAAAAATAATCCTAAGTGCTTCATTTGGAACCAAAAAAGAGCCAGAATAGTCAAAACAATCTTAAGCAAAAAAGAACAAATCTGGAGGCATCATACTACCTGAACTAAAGTTATACTACAAGGCTATAGTAACCAAAACAGTATGGTACTAGTATAAAAGTAGAGACATAGACCAATGGAACTAAATAGAGAACCCAGAAATAAAACCATATAATTATGACCAACTTATCTTCAACAAAGCAGAAAAAACAAAACAAAACAAAAAAAACATACACTGGGAAAGAATGCCTTATTCAATAAATGGTGCTGGGAAAATTGGATAGTCACATGCAGAAGAATTAAACAGGACCCCTATCTCTTGTTATATACAAAATTTAATTGAGGAAGGATTAAAGACTTAAATGTAAGGCATGAAAGCTTAAAAATTCTAGAAAAAAACAGGAAAATTCTTCTAGACACAGGCCTAGGCAAAGAATTTATGATTAAGATACCAAAAGCAAATACAGCAACAGTAAAATTAAATAAATGGAACTTAATTAAATTCAAAGGCTTGTGAAAAGCAAACAAAATAACCAACAGAATAGACAACTTGCAGAGTGGGAGAAAATATTCACAAACATATATATCCAACAAAGGACTGATATCCAGAATCTACAAAGAACTCAAACAAGCAAGCAAACAAACAAACAAACAAAAAACCCATTAAAAAGTGGGCAAAAGACACAAACACAATTTTTTCAAAAGAAGACAAATGGCCAAAAAAACATAAGAAAACATGTTCAACATCAATAATCATCAGGGAAATGCAAATTAAAACTACAATAAGATACCACCTTATACCTGTCAGAATGGCCATTATTAAAAAGTCAACAAACAATAGATGCTGGCATGGATGCAGAGAAAAAGGAACATTTATGTACTGTTGGTGGGACTGCAAATGAGTGTAACCTCTATGGAAAACAGTATGGACATTCGTCAAAGAAATAGATGTAAACTTACCATTTGACCCAGCAGTCCCACTACTGGGTATCTACCCAAAGGAAAAGAAGTCATTTTATCAAAAAGACACCTGCTCTCAAATATTTATCACAGCACAATTCACAATTGCAAAGATATGGAATTAACCTAAGTGCCCATCAATTGATGAGTGGATAAAGAAAATGTGGTGTGTGTATATGCGTACACACACACACACAAACACACACCCCATGGAGAACTACTTAACCATAAAAAGGAATGAAATAATGTCATTTGCAGCAAATTGGTTGGAACAGGAGACCATTATCCTAAGTGAAGTATCACTAGAATGGAAAAACAAACACACGTTCTCACTCATAAATGGGAGCTAAACAATGGGTACAAAAAGGCACAAAGAGATGTAAAGAACATTAGAAACCAAGAAAGGGGGCAGATGAGAGGGAGTTAGGGATAAAAACTTATCCATCAGGTACAATGAACACTATCCTGGTGACCAGGCACACTAAAAGCCCTGACATCAGCGTTATACAATGAATCCATGCAACAAAAACATTTGTAACCCCTTAATATTTTTAAATAAAATAAATAAATAATACAGTATCTTGTACTGATAAAAAGGATAAGCACAGAGCAACTCTGCCACTTTAAAGAGCAATCTGCCACTTTAAAGAGTATCACAACTTAAATGCTATCTCCATTATCACAAAGATTTTAAAGTAGTGATATAAACATCAAATGGTGGTTTCTGCAGGACCCGTTCCTGAAGTTCTTCTGGGGTAAAACCTCAGCATGTATTTTACGGTCCTAGGTGCTTAGCTGTCCTTGAGCAACGTTCCTCAAAAAACTCTTGTCTAGGTCATTACTGATTGTCAGCAACACCTGGATATTTTTACTGGGTTTATGGGCATTTCAATGAAAGAAATGACCAGTACAATTTGAAGAAAAACATTTTCTCACCTGTTGGGCCAGGTACCCCTGCGAAACCTGGGGGCCCTGGTACTCCTGGTAATCCTCGAGAATCACAGGGCTTTGAAGTTTCTGGAGAGTTGACTTCAGCCATGGCTGATACAACAGACAAAGATAACATCCAGACATCTACAGCAGGAGACCAATGGATAAAAACTGACATAAACTGCAAGAGGGTGCTGCTCCTTTTGAAAAATTATGTTCCCAACACTGTCAGAGGGTAGCAAATTTTCACAATCCCAAGAAATAAGTATGTGCCTGGTCATTCCCATGCCCTCCCACGCCCTTCCTTCCTCATGGGTACAATCTAGGTCAAGGCCTCCATATTTGTTCTTTTTGCTTAAGGTTGATTTGGCTATTCTGGCTCTTTTTTGGTTCCAAATGAAGCTTAGGGTTATTTTTTCTAGATCTGTGAAAGATGGCACCGGTATTTCCCCAGAAATGGCATTGAATCTGTAAATCACTTTGGGCACTATGGACATTTTTAATTATGTTGATTCTACAGAAGGGGAAACACACACCCAGCAAGGGACAGCGGTTGGTTGGGCTCCCTCAAGGCCAGCCAAGTACTCGAGGAAGCAAGTATGAAACTCGTAGCTGGACTCCTAGCTGATTTTTTTCTTTCATCCAACAATACTAGAGGGTCTGAGACTGAATGGAAATACACAGGCTCATTAACTCTCCCTCCTCTTAACTGTCCCCAACATGCACATGTGCATGTGCGTGTATGTGCACACACATGCACACACAGAGTGCACACACAAAATGAAACTCAAAATAGGTTTCCACTGAAACCGAGATGGATATCAATCGATTTTGTTCAGCGTTTATAGCATTGAGCTCCTATTTTAGGGGCACTACAACTGTAATACAAAGCTGAACACTGAATGTGTTATAAGCATTTATTGAGAAAGTTGGTTATTCCCCTTGGAGTCCCCTATGTGAAAACTTTTGGCAAACATTTCCCTCTGATCTAAGTACAAGTCCCTCAAGTAATGGATATATCTTTCTTTTATGCAGAATGTTAATTACGTAAATTGCTCTGTTTCCCTCTTTGACTTGAGTGATTTTTCACCACTAAGAATCTCAGATCCAATTTTTCAGGTAAAATTTAAAACCAAGAGGCAGAGCAACTATACTTGAACCTGTCCATCTATTCATGGGTATTTATGTTACTTTGTCTTTTTATTTTTTTTCACTCCTAATTTTTACCTAGTAATATTGCTCTAATTTATTTTATGGTTGCACACTAGCGACCTCAAATACTCCATAGGAAAAGGTGAGAGGGAGGAAGAGACAGTGATGGCAGACAGTAAATATCTATGTGCATGAAAAATGTACAAATATTTTGCTTTTGTCAGACAAAGACTGAGCACTTCAAATTGAAATTAGTATGTACAGCAAATGCCACAGAAGTTAGATTTTAATTCCATATTATAATTAGTTAAATAGTGAAAGAAGTTGGAGAATTTTCAGGGGAAATGTCGAGAATGTGGGGAAAAGACAGAGATAGAAGAGACTGAGGGAATAAGACGGGAGGAAGTGACAGAGGAAGAATCACGGGGACTCCCAGAAGGGCAGAGAGAGGAAATGAGGGGCTGACACAGAGATGAGGGCAGAGAGAGGACAGGAGGCTCTGTCAAGTGTGGATAAATTTGATTACAGGGATCAGAATATTAATATTGGTTTACGTATCAGAGTATTAACGTAAAATACACATTCTATAGTCAAACACACGAAAATTTTGCATTATCTGCCCTTTTGGGTTTTTTATGTCATAATTCCTCTGTACTCATTAGCATACAATGAAATTAATTACATATTGGCAACATAAGGTTTGGCTCACATTTGACTTCCATTTCCACTCCCTTCTGATTGGAAGGGCTAAAACGGAGTCTATCACTTTGTCCAGCGTTATGGGAAAACTATATCTCAAGATTGTCGGGACAATAAAATGAATTACAAGTAATATAGCAGGAGAAAGCACTTCGGATAGTTCTCTGTATCAACATAGGGGGCCCAATTCTTCACCAGTCGGTATTGATTACACTTACCTACAATTCCCAGGGCGAGACCTCTTTCTCCTGCCCTATGCATCCTGATATAAAGTTGGAAGTTTTGTGAGACTGTGTCTTCAGTTGTTCTGTTCTTCTCTCACCTGCTTGTCTTTCAAAGCTATAGGGAAGATGTTATAATAAATCAATTTTTCTTAATATTTAATTTTTTGCTCCTGCCTGAAGCAAATGACCTCAGTTGGTTTTTAACTAGATTGAAGTTGTGCCAGTTGATGTTCAAACATAGGCTGTATTTGCTATTTGTCCTTTTTTCCTACTTTGTTGTCTTCTTTTGCAATAATTGAGCAATTTTTGATGATTTAAATTTATCTCTGCTATTGCTTCATTATCTACGCCTTTTTATTATTTTAGAATGCTGTTGTAATGTTTACAGTATACATTTTCAGCTAAACACAGTATAATTACAAAAATATTATACCACATCCCTTAGTGGATAAGAACTTTAAAGCAGTATACTTTCATTTTCCCTCTCCCATTCTTTGTGATATTTTCGTCATATATTTTACTCCCTTGTATCTTTTAAATATCACAATACATTGTTATTTTTGTAGTTTGCAATAAAATTATCTTTTAAAGCAATTAAAGTGATATTGTTCCATAAATTTACTCTTTCTGGTATTCTTAATTCCTTCATGTAAATCTCGGTTTCCTTCTTCACCTTGATTTTTCAAGATTATTTTTACTAGACATACCAATCTGGGTTGGCAGTTATTTTCTTGCATCACTCCAAAGATACAATTCCATTGTTTTTTGGATTCCACAACATTTTTGAGAAATCAACCATGTTTTTCCTATAAAAGTTATGTACTATTTTTCTCTGACTGCTATAAGATTTTCTCTTTGTAAAATTAAAACTGATAAGTATTAAAAGAAGATTATGATGATGTTGCAATAATACAACAAAGGAGGATTTGCACAAGTCACTTTAATCATCCCTTCATACGGAAGGCATTCTGTGAGCATTTTCACTGCTCAACGTGGTTTATGGTAGTATGAAAGGGTGGATAAGTGGGAGGAAAGTGGGTTTTATGCAGAGGTAAGAGAATGTGCAGTGATTCTCTGTTGGTACAAGCATGTTACATCTGAGGACTGAATGAAAGTTTATCTAGAGCTGTAAATAGTACAAGAAAGGGACTGAGATATAAATGGAGAAGGGGGAGGGGCCAGGCCATGCACAACATGGTAACCCATGCAAAGGAGTTGGTTTTATCCTAAAGAAAATGGGAAACCATTAAAGGGTTTTAAGCATGGAATACCATGATCAGATTTGCATTATAAAAAGCTCACATGGGTTGAAAGGTAGCTTGCCCGTAAAAAGAATCAATTTCAAAAAGTAATTGGGACCAGAAATATGTCAGTTCCTCAGTTTTTTATATGGAGAAGCCACCAAGCACACAGATGGTCTTACAGACTTCATCATGATTACTGAATCACTGTGGACTCTGAGCTGACTTGGTAAGTTATTTAGCCCTCTCTTGTAACACTTACTAAAGACTAGTCTTTATTAACTAAGTATCTTATGTGTGTAGCAACATGGAAAGCCTAATCTTACCCAGTTTTTACAGATAAATATTATCCATTTAACCCAACATAAAAAGGACTAGCTTATTGTAATCCTTAAATAGATGAAGGGAAGGGAAGGAAGGAAGGAAAGGAGGGAGTGAGGGAGGGAGAGAGGAAGAAAGGAAGGAAGAAAAGAAAAAAGAAGGAAAGAAGGAAGGAAGGAAGGGAGGAGGAAGGAGGAAGGAAGGAAGGAAGGAAGGAAGGGAGGGAGGGAGGGAGGGAGGGAGGAAGAAAATTATAGAAGTGAAGAAGACAATGGACATCAGAGAAAACAGCCACAGAGGAAAATATAAAGATGTTAAGGTTGCATTTGCCCATATTTAACATAAACCTTACCTTAGTAGCTTAACAATAAACCTGACTCCAGTAGCTTAATAAAAGAGGGATTTACTTTCTTTCATATAACAAGAAGTGTTCAAAGGCTCTGGCCATTAGAAAGTAGGTAGCCTTGGATTTAACTTTCTGTCATAAACAACTATAACAGATACATAAAAATTACTAAGCGATTCTTTATAAGCGTCAGCTAATGCAGGACTCTGACCTTGGCAGAAGGAGAGAAGTGGGCTTACACCCATCCAGGATTTCTGCTCATGAGCATTTCCTAAACAACATTAAGGTGGAGATAGCCACCGTTGGAGAATAGTGATTTCACTGGTGTTAGGAAAAAGAGGTTAAAGTTTGAGACTATCAGGCAGCTGGGATTTGAAGGGCAAGTACTGAATAGTAGGAAGCCACAGAGAGGGAACCCCAACTATCTGCAAATATTCACCTCAGATTCCTAATTCACTTGTAAACTATACAAATACAGCTCAAGAATTGGGTGGCCCACAGAGATCTGTTGCTAGGATAATAAGAAGGAAGAGAAATTTCAGGAGTCACAGAGTGCTGAGTAAATATTCTAGTTGCTTTGGGGAAAATGGAGAGGTCTTAGTCTAGATCACAGAAAAGAGTACATGCTAGAAATAAATACCATACTGTAGATATAAGAAATACTCCATGAAGAAAGGGGAAAATTTAATCGACTCATCCCAACAATTGCTTAAAAAAAAACACCTCAAAGTAATAAATATGATCCATTAGTAATTTAGCTGTTGTCCAAAGAAATATAAACTCTTTATATAAACTGTTCCAGACAGAACGAAAACCATCAATCCACATCAACCACAACCTATCGCCTGCAATATTGAGCACATAGTAAAAAGACTAACAGATATCCAAAGAAGCAGAAAAAGGTTTCATCAAGAAATAAAAAGTCAATGAAAGTAGACCAAGAGATGATCCAGGGATTGCAGGCAAGAAATTTCAATGAACTGTGATTAATATAGAAGAAAAAATTGGAAAACTGATTGACAGAATTGATGTAAAGGAAATATTTGAATGAAAAATGATAAAGTAAAGATCAAATAGATAATCTAGAATCTGTAGAATATAAGCCTCTTGGGATATACCAAAATAAACATAGAAAACAAATGGACTTACAGTCAGGTCATGGAAAACAACTAAAGTGAAGCATGGATTTAAAAAAAGAGATCCATGTAACCAAAAATAGTTGTACCCTATAATACTTTGAAGTAGAAAGGAAAAAGGATATCTGTTGAAAAAACACACTCGTGATAGAAGAAAAATAATATAGATTGTGAAAGAGAAAAAAATAGCAAAATAAAAAAGCAAAATAGAAAACAAGCTCTATGTGGGACATGATCTAAAGTGCTAACATACTAGATTGAAGTTGCAGAGTTAGAGAGGAGAACATTACGTGGAGTGATGGTGGGCAAGAGTGTCTCAAATCTGATTAAATATATCAACTGGGAGGACAGGTTTGGAAGCTCAGTGACCCTGAATCAGGGTTGAAATACTGGAAGCTATGGCCAGGAGTATGATAGGACAACCACTAAAAAACAAAAATAAAGTAAAAATCTTAAAACTGCTAAGAGAAAAACACCACATTGTATTCAGGGTAAGAATGATACAAATAACATCTACATTCTCAACAGACAATATAAAAGCCAGGCGGCAATAAACTGAAAAATTGAAAGTGTTAAAATAAAAGCAAACCTACCAATTTGACAACCAGTAAATTTTCAAATTTTATACTCAGTAAAATTCTTTTTAAATTTTTTTTTTAATTTCAGCAAATTACGGGGGTGCAAATGTTTAGGCTACATATATTGCTTTTGCCCCACCCAAGTCAGAGCTTCAAGTGTGTCCATCCCCCAGATGGTGCACACAGCACCCATTAGGTGTGAATATACCCATCCCCTCCCAAACCCATGTATTGATGGGCACTTGGGTTGTTTCCACATCTTTGCAATTGTGAATTGTGCTGCTATAAACATTCTAGTGCAGATGTCTTTTTTATAGAATGTCTTTTGTTCTTTTGGGTAGATGCCCAGTAATGGGATTGCTGGATCAAATGATATGAACTAATCCTTTTTAAAAATGTTTTTTTCTTTTTTATGTCTACCCAAGGTAGTACTTCATCAAATTCCTTGTGGGAATTTTTTCCCACAAAGCTCCTTTTCTCAGGAGCCCACTCCCACAGTAATTCATAGTAGCCCACAATGACCCATCAACAGAAGAGTGGATAAACAAATGGTTTACATTCACACAATGAAATGCTATTCGTGTCCATACGATGAAATGCCACACTATTTTTACAATAGTGTGCGTGAATTTCACAGACATTATGAAGATGGGGGGCTGGGGAACTACACATGAAAGATTTTATATTTTATGATATCATTCATGTAAAGTTCAAGAGTAGGCAAAGATAATTGATGGTGCTGAAAGCCTAAATAATAGATTAAATGCCACAGATGTGGTTGTAGACTGAAAGGGCACAGAGAAACTTCTGGAGTGCTAGAAATGTTCCATCATTGATCTGCATGGTGGGTCCATGACTGCATGCTTATGTAAAAATAAATCAAGATGCGCACTTTAGATTGTACATTTTAATGTGTTTAATTTATACTTCAATAGTTAACAAAACTGCCAAGATTTTTAGAAAACCATCTAGTCATAAGTATGATAGTATAAGGTTGGCAAGATGCTCGTGGCAGTCTGCAAGGACCTTGGCCACTTCTTCTCTCCTGCTCCATCATGGAATATGTGGCGTTGGTTGATGCCTGCATGATGGTTGTTGCAGCTTCCAGAAGCGCATCTGCATTCTCCGAAGGAAGAAATAGAGATAGCAAAAGGCAGAGGCCAAAGGCCAAAGACACAAGCCAGTTGAGTCTTTCCCTTTTGAATATGTGTCCCTGAAGACACTACTGACTTACACGACACCAGATCCAGTGGTTTTTCTTATGCCATCGAGAATGTAATAGAGGCCAGTCTAACCTTACCTGGGCTCACTGAGCCAACTCAAACAAATTAGCTAGAATAGAAATTAACTGGAACAGAAATTAGGTAGAAGAAAGTGAGAATGGATATTGTATAAGTAACTAGTAAGTAGTCTGAAGTAAATTAAGACTCTAAAAACTTTGAAGCCGTAGACATTCCCTCACTTCTGTCTTTGGCCCTCTGCCCCCACCCCCACCCAATTACACTTTGGGGAAATCAACTGATGGGAAGCATTTTCATTTGTTTCTTTTAAGCAAATTACTCTCTCTCCCAGGGATATTTACTTTTATATCCTTATACTTAATTCCCAATGCAGGTTTGGGGAGGCGGCTGTTGAGCAAGGTTTTTGTCCCTTGGAGAGGAAAAAGAAAAGGCTTCATAAAGGAACTAAATGGGAGTTTGCAAAGTGTATTCAACAGCAGACTGGCTGGGTAGCTTCCTATCTCACTTTGGTTTTTTTGTTTGTTTTCTTCTCCTACAATTTTGCCACCCAGGATCTTGAATTCTGAGAATGACAGATAAGAAATTGTTGACAAATTAACGAGCAGTCCGTCTTTATTGGTTTCAGTAATTGCTAATACACTCATTTTGTTCAACTTAGCCATTGCCTATTTTGTGAGCTGTTCATGATTTAGTGGTACAAGGGGAAACATTTGGGCTGAGGGGAGTAGAAAACTTTTCTTCTTAAATTCCGTGGTGCTTAAGGAAAAGACGCATACTGTGAGCTACAGCCTCAATTTCTGTTGAGCAAATACCCATAGAACACAGTTGGTGTAGTTCCACTTTCAGACTCCGCTTCGTCCAGCTTAGACTCTAGCCAGACCCTATCCCCTTTCTCCAGCTGCAAGACGGAACCTCCTGAAATGTACTCGTGGGTGTCCCGGGCCTCTCCTTGCTTGTCCCTGACCTGGATGCCATTCCTCATGAGACCCACCTTTACGACATTATGAAACAGTGCAATGTCAAAGCCAAAGTAGTATACGCCAGGCACAGCGCAGGTGAACACTCCTGTGGCCAGGTCAAAGTGGCCCTGATGGTTGTACAAGGCCTCCTGGAAGACAAGGCGCTTGGAGGGGCCTGGGAAAGGCCCAGTCTTCTTTACGGAAAAAGCAGACTGTGGTAGGGGTGGGCACTTCTCAACAACTCCAGGTAACCCAGGTGGTCCCACTGGGCCTGGGATACCTCGGGGTCCTAGAGTACAAAACAAACAGGAAATAGAATTGCTTCATTTACGAGTTTTTCTGTATTTCATAGCGTATGGATTTCTCCCTCCTTCCTCTTCCAATTACTTTCCCTTCCCCTGTGAGGGCCTAGGTGAAGCATCACTGCCTACCAGAAGCCTCTCCTTTCTACCTCAGGCTTGGAAAAGTTTCATCGCCTTGCCATGGAATACCACACCTGGTATTTACTGCTGCCATAGATATAAGGCATTACCATGAAGAAGTGTAATCTCTCCCTTGTCTACACGGGGAGCCAAGGTCTTAACTCACTTTGGTTTCTAAGTGTCATTCTCAGTGTTGGTTTTAAAATTAGCATTCAATATATATTCAGTGAACGAATAATTAAATGAATCAATATATGGACTAATCTTCAGTCAGGCACCTCCTTGTCTTTTCTTTGCTATAAAGCCAAGAGATCACTACTGAGAAGAGGGTACCCAGACGAATCCAGGGGTCATCTTATGCTAGAAGGTGATAGGAGTTGTAAGCCATGGTGTCCAAACGTGCCCGTTTATTATAACCATTTGTGGAGCCCACCTCCACCCTGCCTCCCAGTTTTTCAGGGCCAGGCTATGCTGTGGCCCTTTAGAATCTCAGTCTCTGGGGATGGAGATTAGGAAACAACATGTTTAGCCAGTCCATGGCTAATTCTGATACTAGGCCAGATTTGAAAGTCATTGCCTTAGAGGTTCAGTAGAAGTTCAGAGTTGATGGGATTCCCACCCCAGCTCAACTCCCCACATCTTTCACCATAAAGACAAGAAAACCAGAGGCCAACGTATCTGCTGACCCCACGTGCCTGAAGTGTCACTGTGTGAACCTGCACCTACACCTGTACTGCGTGACATTCGTGTGCATGCCCTACCCTGATGTGGAGCTGCAGGTGTAAGTCTCAACTTGGACTACACATCAAATGTGTCTAGAGAGCTCGATTGACACAGAGATTTATTAGGATTTAGGAGCTGCGTTAGTAGATTGATCTTATGATTAGTCAGGGTTGAGGATCATTTGTCACCAAGAAATGACTGACTTCAGTGATCCATATTCTCATCAGGTCACCTGGAAGATTTCACTGAGTCTATGAGCATTTTAATCAATGAGAAATTATGAAAAGCTTATAGAGCAAATGTGGTTTTTTTCACCTGGTAGACCAGGTCGCCCTGGAAGACCCATGAGCCCTGGGGGTCCTGGGGGTCCTCGAGATGCACATGGCTTAGGTCCTTCTGAAGACTTGACATCAGCCACAAGTAGTGGGACAAGTAAGGCCAAACTCCACAAACCTGAAGGAGAAGAAAATGGACATATCAAATAGGCGGGATATGGATTGATTACTCTTGAAGGGATTGTACTACCAACTTTGTCAAGTAGCAGCATATTTTTACAATTCCAAGAAATCAACATTATTTTGGTCTTTAAGTCCATCGAATGCCACAGGTATTAATGCTATGACTCATCCAGAGAAGGTTACCGGCACTTTGAAGTGAGATGTTTCTATATGGGGTCCAACAAGATCCAAGAAAATCAGCTAATCCATCCAACTTGAAAACAATACTGCTTTCTCAAACTCATGCCAACTCTAGAGGTTGTTTTATGTGGACTCAGAGCCTCCTGCCATCTGTTTATCAGTTATCTTTAAATAATTAGTTTGAGTAATTTTGTTCCTATGATGATTAACACCTGCTTTGTCCATGTCTTAGTCTGGATGTGTGAGGAATACATACAGAATATATTCTACATGTATGAACTTCATGTACGATGAATAGTTATTTGATCTTTCATGGTGAATGAATCAATAAATATCAAACACTGAATTAGCCAGCTATTCTTTTCCACCCTTGGGATTTTTGTTTAGTACATTTGACTTCATTTGACTCTGATGTCAAGCCAGGAAGACCAATATATTTGCATCATACTTGCTTCTATGAATGCACTTGTAATATTGAACCATTTGCAGGACTATCAGATCCTTGAGGGCAGGATAATGCCTCAAATGGTAAATTTCCATTTGCCCTCAATAGTCAACCTTTATAGATTACGAATATATGCAACAACTATAGAAATTTGTCTCAGGAAACACAATCAACTTCAGCATGATCAGTTACACTCTTGGAAGTAGAGTGTTCTAAATGTTACCAGTAACCATAACTTTTAGAAACTGCCTTCACATTCAAACAAGTCATCAATCAACTTTTTGGGGCATGAAATCTAGCCTTAATTTCTGATTCAAGTGATATCTTTCATAGCTGAAGGGAAGTTATGAAAGGAAAGTTGAAAGGTAATAGACAGGGATATCAAGAAGGACATAGGAAGAGAGAGAGAGAGAGAGAGAGAGAGAGAGCGAGCGCATGCAAATAGAAAACAGAATCAAAGAGAATAAACAGTAAATGCAGGGATAGTTAGTGGAGCATGGTGGGGATTAAATCAATACAAAGTAAAGCAGAAGCAGAGACAGACACCAAGAAGCATTAAGACACTAAGATAAACTTAACACGTACAGCAATGTAGTATGTTACTGGTTCACTTTGACTATGACAATCTAAGTTTTGAATTTTAATATATAATTGAAATAAAATATAATGGATTTTATGACTCACACTTTTGTTTATGTCATAATGACCTTGATTTAATTTGAATTATTTGCATTTAATTCTATATGGAAGGCAAGAGTTTTGGCCCCTAGTTTGGCCTCTACTCCTTCTAACTCCTCCTATTTGCAATAACCAATTGACAAAGTTGAACAGGTGTTTTTCTTTTTTGCCATTCTTATGAGTAATTGCCTTCTAGGGTTGTTCTAACAAAAAATAAGAGAGAAAGAAATCACATGTAGGGAGAACAAAGTGCTTTGGAAAGTTCTCTGTGCTAATGCAATGGAATAATTTTATTTGATAGATATTAATAAGAAAACTTACCTGCAGTGCTCATTGAGAGAGCTCTTCGTCTTTCCCTAGGCATCGAAGCTCCTTCAATGACCACCTTCTCACCTGTCCTACTCCTGACTTATCTGCTTGATTTTTGAAGCATTGTGATAGATGGTTTAATACATTGATGTCTCTTCATATGTGATTTTCTGGTCTCTTGAGGCTGAAGTCAGGGTTACTTTTTAACCAGAGTAGTTAAATATTCAAGCATGTTAAGGAAAGTTGACATGTTGACATTTCACCCACCTCTGGCAGCCACCTCTTACCGTCATGGCCATGCCTGGGCTTCTTAAGCCTCTGAACTTTGTTTTGGCTGTCTCCTCTCTCCTGGTCATTTCATCAGCATCGCCCTGTGGACCCTATTCCAGGACAACAGAAATATGAGCAATGAAATATACTTCATTCCACATACCAATTCCATTGAATCGGATACCTCTACTCTAAATGCATCATTTTATAGGCTGGAAAAATGAGGCTCAGGGAGAGAAAGTGACTTAGTTGAGCAAATCAGGATTAAATGTAGGTCAATAAAGGTTTTCCTCCTACTTTAGAGCCCAGGAATTTTTCTCCTGTGCCTCTCCCTTACTGATATGTTCTGACAACTTGCTGCTTTACTATAACAATCCCTCTTCTGACATGCTTTTATGTGCCAGCCAGGCGCTCCAAGCTTGCCAAGGTGAACCTAAGTTAATTAAACTTGAATTAACTGAGGGTGAGACTTCGAAAATGGCTGAGTGAAGAGCTTGGCAATAAAAAGCAACAATAAAACTGGACAAAACAGCCCAAAACAAACATTTAAAACTTTGGAAAATGACCAAAGCATATAAAAAACTGAGTATTTATTCCATGGTATTCACTGAATCTCAGTAAGGATGGTGGAAATCTGTGGTTTACTCCTATGGGGTTACTCTCGTTCTGTTCTGCCGTACAGAAGTGCTGCCAGAGTGGGGCATGCTGGGAGGGCTGGCTGCAAAGGGAACTGACTTTATTTTGAGCAATAAGGGGAAAGTCCATGATCAGGGGCACTGCCAAAAACAGTAGTGTTTAAGTTGCCAATGATCAGGGAAGGTCAATATCATGGCAAGTCTGAGATCTTAACGCTAGCTGGGGCAAGCAATAGACCCACCAGAAATTTAGCAGGGAGATGGGGGATGGGACACCCAATAGGGATTTGATAAGATCCTAGTTATCCATGGTGGTCTGGAAGGCTGTGCACATGCACAGGCTTCTGCCAGGCTCAGGAAAGACGAGAAAGGGCTGTACAAAGCCTATTGTCCCTGGCTGAATAGGCAGGCCTGCAAACATGGAAAGTCAGGCAAAGACAGCACAGCAAAGGAAATAATCAGCAAAGGGAAGAGACAACCTACAGTATGCAAAAAAATATTTTCAAACTATCCATCTGACAAGGAATTAATAACTAGAATATACAAGGAGTTCCAAAAACTCAATAGGAAAAAAAATCAAGAAATCCAATTAAAAATGGACAAAGAATCTGAATAGACATTTCTCCAAAGAAGACATACAGTTGGCCAACTGGTATATGAAGAAATGCTCAATATCATTAGTCATCAGAGAAATGCAAATCAAAACTGCAATGAGATATTTTCTCATCCCAGTTATCAAAAAGACAGGCAATAGCAAATGCTATTGAGGTTGTGGGAAAAGGAGAACCCTCATACACTGTTGGTGGGAATGTAAATTAGTGGAAACATAATGGAAGTTCCTCTAAAAAATAAAAATAGAACTACCATATTACCCAGAAATCCCACTGCTGGATATGTGTGTGTGTGTGTGTGTGTGTGTGTGTATACACATATATATATAAAATATATATATACATATATATTCATATATATATATGTAGAAGGGGAATTCAGTATATTGAAAATATATCTGCATTCCCATGTTTATTGCAGCATTATTCATAATAGCCAAGATTTGGAATCAACCTAAGTGTGCATCAACAGGTGAATGGATGAAGAAATTGTGGTACATATGCACAATGGAATTTATATAGCTACAAAAAAGAATGAAACCCTGCCATTTGCAGCAACATGAAAGGAACTGGAGAACAGAATGTTAAGTGAAATAAACCAAGCACAGAAAGATAAATCTCGCATGTTCTCACTCATATACGGGAGCTAAATATTAAAAACAATTGATCTCATGGTGACAGAGAGTAGAATGAGGGTTACTTGAGGCTGGGAAGGGTAGCAGGGTGGAGGGGGATAAAGTGGGAATGCCTAAGAGGTACAACAATATAGTTAGATAGTTTAATAAAATGAACAATATTTGGTAGCACAACAAACTGAGTATAATCAGCAATAAGTTAGGGTATACTTTAAAATAAAAGTAAAATATTGGGATTAAAGTGTTCCTAACACAAAGAAAATGATATATGCCTCAAATGATGGATACCCCATTACCCTGATTTGATTAATTCACATTGTATGCCTGTATCAAAATATCACATGTACCCTATAAAGTTATACAACTATTATGTACACATAATAATTAAAAATAAAAAAGAAGAAAGAATTAGCAAACTTAAAGAAAGATGATAAAAATATGATCCTAAGAATATCTGTAACCATAGAAAGACAAGAAATATTTAAAGGGAAATGAAGGAAGAAAATGAATAGAACCTTAGAGAAATATGGGACATCATTAAGTGAACCAACACACATGTAATGGAATTATTAATAAGAGAAGGATGAGAGAAAGAGTAAGGAATAGAAAAAATATAAAAGAAACAACGGCTGAAAAGTTCCCAATTTGATGAAACTTCCCATTTGATGAAAAACATCAATTTCAAACATTTGAGAACTTCAACAAACTCCAAGGAGAATAAATGCAAAAAAAGTCACTCTGAGACACAAAAAGGAATGATACATATTTCACTGGTACTTGCTACAATATGAATGAGCCTTGAAAGTAGTATGCTATGTGAAAAAAAGCCCATGTATTGTATGATTCTATTCATATGAAATGTCCAAAGTATACAAACACATAGAGGCATAAAGTAGATTAGCTGAGAGAATTGGGTGAAATGGGGAGTGACTGCTAAATATGGGATTTCTTATGGAGGTGATGCACTTGTTTGAAAATTTTATTGTGGTGGTGTTTGCACAGTTCTGTGACTATAATATTATATGGGAGAATCATAGACTATGTGAAGGATCCCTCGATGAAGTTGTTACATAAAGAAAAGAAAAAAATCGTGGAAGAATGGAGTATGAATGTAAGGACTGAAACATCACAATCACTCCCAGTTTTTCTGTCTCTGTGTCCTGACAATGATTCATTGGTTAAATCAGTGCTGCTCAACATGTGGTCCACAGGTCAGCTGTCAATCCATGAACTATTCACCATCTCAGAAGAAATACAGAATCTGTAGTGCCCTGTGAATATGCACCCTATTGACTTCAGCTGAGTGCTTGTTTGTTTGTTACAAACTAAGACTTTCCACGAAGGAAGCAGTGGGTTCATTGGCATTCTGGTACAATTTCCTCATCCTGTGGTACAAGTAACCAAGCATGAGGAGCATTTCAAGTAGTATGGGTTTAAATAGTGCCATGGTTACAGAATTAAAATATTCAATAGGCCACACATCTGTAAAAACTTGCCTTAATCCCAGAGCAGTTCTAGATACTGTTTATCCCATGATAATATTGCATAGTACCTCGCATAAGTAGATGAGATTTTCTGGCTGTTCCCCAAGCTCTTATATCCCATATAGACAGTTGTCAGTGGATTCAGCTGTTGAAAACTCAAACAAGGAAGGTTTCCTTAATCCTAATAGTAACAAAAAGGATGCAGTATCTGCAACCCAGATCAACTTCCCAAGGGGCAAATGATATAACCTGGAAATATGGAGATGTTAACGCCCATATTTATCTGTTCCTTGTGGCTGCTGCAGCCAATTAGCACAAACAAGGTAGCTTAAAATAACACAAATTTATTCTCTTACAGTTCTGGAGGTCAGAAGTCCAAAATCAGTTCCAATGGGCTAAAAGTCAGGTGTCAGCAGGGCTGGTTCTTTCTAGAATCTCTGAGGGGGCATCCATTTTCCTACCTTTGTCACCTTCTGGTGACTGCCTGTATTCTTGGGCTTGGGATCTCTTCCTCCACCTTCAAAGCACATCATTCCAATCTCTGCTTCCATCTTCATGTTTCTTTTTCCTCTCTGCAGTCAAATCTCCCACTGCCTCCCTCTTCTAAGGATGTTCATAATGAATTACATTTAGAGCCCAACCACACAATTCGGGATAATCCCCCTTTCTTAAAATCCTTAACTTAATCACATATGCAAAGTCCTTTTGTCCATGTAAGGTAACATTCTCAGCTTCCAGTGATTAGGGTGTGGATGTCTTTGGGGGCCATTACTCAATCTACTATATTTCACATAAGGATCTTTGCCAGTGGAAGGGAGGAGAGAGGAGGAAGCCGGGAAGATGTATTTCTTCTCCTAGTTCTTTTCAATGGCTGATTTTGAGATGCAATCGTTTCAAGGCCTGCTGGTGATCCTGTGAAATCTAACAGTACACCGTGATCATTATAAAGCTACGATCACTATAAAGCTATGGTAATGAACCACCTCTTATTAGCTCTTCTTTCTTCCCTGCCTCACTTCCAATTTCACACACTGTTGGCACCCCTAAGATTGCACCTGCCAATAATTATTAGTACACAAGCTTTTTCCTAGCCTGAGTTTTCTGGGAAATCCAGCCTAGACATTGCTACTCAAAAGAGCATTTGTATGTGATTCCCAGGCAGAGAGTTCTTCCATCTTCTCCAGGGAAATTAACATGAGAATGGAAGCTCTTCCGATAGATACTTACTTGGATGCCCTATCTTGTCCCGCTTGTTCGGTTTTCAAAGTTTTGAGTCGTATAGCATAATTAACCAATTTTTTTAATTTGCTATTTGAATGTCTCCCAAGGTGATATACAGGAGTTAAAAAGCTTTGCTTCTGAACTGGGGCACATGTCTACATATCCAATTCTGCTAATCAGTGGCCACTTAGACTGGGGACCAGGGATGTTTGATGATCCTCGGATGCAGATCTAGCTCGGGTGGTCTCAGGACCATAGTATGCAAGAAATGGAAGACACCTCCATTTCTCTACTCCATCCCAATAGTATGGTACTG